GAGTAAATTTACAAGTTCTCTCTATCTTGGGTGCAAATGTGCAACAACTATATTTTGCATTCTATAACAAAGAGATAGTGACCCTTTGATACGCCATATTTATTACATAAGGGATCTTGCAATGGGGTTAATGCATTTCACATTGAAATAACTTTGTTTTGCAGAAGAGAGCCATGAGAGCACTTTACAACCTAAGTTCGAAGGAGTCTTTTCAAGAAAGTTTTTTAGAAGTAAATATATTAACTATAGCGTTTTAGTAGTTTTATGAAAATTTAATGTATGTTTTTTATTAATTTTTGTTTTTTGTTTTTGTTAATTTAATGTACACAAAAGCAACAATAGTTTTTTATTAAAAATAGTAATGTATATTCTGTAAATACTAGGAACAAGTACAAGCTAGTTATATCAGTTATTCCACTTCAAAGAATAAGTTTTCCTTCATGGGGCAATAGTATATGTTTTTACAAGTCATAAAATATGCAGTCTATCAAAAACTGAAAATTTTTAACTAAGCAAAGTTGTTCAAAAAAATGTTATTACAATAAAATATACGATTGATAAACCCCTGGGAATGGAGTGATTAATGTTTTTTCTAAATGTTTTAATATTTAATTGTAAAACATTATATTCTAAATAACATTTTGTTCAAATGACCCGCTTGGACTTCTTGCTTGTTTTCTACATAGGACAGAGGCTTTTCCCAAACGAGTAAAAACATTAATTACTTAATGAGTTTTGTAATCAAGTATTCTCTAATAAGTTTTGTAGTTTTGAATAAAATTTATTCTATTTACGTCGTAACTGCAAGCATATAATATAGAGACAAAATTTTAAGGTTAATTTTAAATCAGGGAAATAAATAGACAACCAATTATTGTCAAAATGAAATTATTATTTGCTGGTTTTACTCTGCTCTTGTGTATGTGAGCTTATTTATTATTTAACTTGTTTTTGATTCAAATATTGCTATTTTAGGTATTGTAGACATGCTAGGGTTTTTAATTGTGCATGATATTATCAATACATTCATAATTGTAAATCATCTATATTATTTTGTCCTTTTTTATATAGGTAATTGAAATATTGTAATCAGTATTGATTTTTATTTTCTTGTTTTAACTCATCTAATGACTTAATAGACAGAAATAATTTTGCTAAAGAAATTTTGTCTCCTCCCTTCAGTAGTGTTCTAGTATTATGCAAGTTTGAAAAATGTTATTCTGTACCTTAGAATCACCTGCTATTGGGCGGCCAGTATACATATACTAGGCTATGTCGGATGCATGGCTGTTACATTCCGTCTGGACTGTAATACTAAGCATGCAAGACCCAACATTGTAGGCTTAGTATAACAATCTTTTTTAACACCCTTTGGGTCCAGACTTATAAAATGATAAATATTGTTGCCATTATATACATATTATATTATATTTTTCAGAGTAATCAAATTCGTAACTTAAGCTTAAATACATAAATAATGATATAATGTTATTGCAATTTTTTAAAATATCAGTAAATAAAGCTTCTTTTATTTGCAACTATCCCAAATTGAATCCGATTTATGGGCAACAACCTTTTTGCCTACCGATCGACTAACATGTTTCAAATATAAGCAAGCTCTAACTAATTTTTAATATCTTTATCTTACGAGGAAACTGAAAAATTATTAAATATAGATAGTTAAAAATGCAAACTGTTAAGCAAAATAATAACACACACTCACTCCTTTCACACACACACACACACACACTCACACTCATATACTACACACTGGCATCTACGTATTAATTTTACACTTACTTCTAAACTTTTAATATTGGTTTATGATTAACAAATCTCCAATATTAAATGAACATTTTGCATATTATATTTTATTGTTTTAAGAAAATGATATTTTAACTGAGTCACTACTCGCTAAGTTTCAATTATTTCTATGTGAAATATAGAATAAGTTCTTGTAAATGTTTACTATAACATTTGGATATTAAAGTGTGTGACACATTTATAGAATATCTCTCCTGCCTTACTCTTGTACCATACAACTAAACATTTAGCTATAATAGTATTGAGCCATTTGTCGGATTAGAACATAGCACATAGCTAATTATTTTACTTCTTCCCACTTTTATTCATTTCTTGATTGCGGTAAAATTGTTTTTATGTTTTTGTTTTTCTATTTGGTATGTATTTAATGGGGAGGGCTTAGCAGCTGTAACATAGGTCTGTGACCTAGCATGGTTGCTAAAGATACCTTAATATACTATTGAGTTAGATTTACGTCATATCAATGTAATTTTGTAAGTATATGTTTTTATATAGAGTATATTTGGATTCAATAAATAAATAAAATATATATTCAATAAATAATAAATAGGGAAAAATTTCGGTCGGCAGACCGCCCGACATGTCGGTCACCTCGTGAGCCTTTCACTAGGTTCTCGTCATATGGAATGGTAATGACGACCAAAAATATCCTTGACTGTGCCCGGTCCATCAGCAAAATATCAGGTTTATTCGCAAGAATAGTCCTGTCTATGATGATGGCCCGATCCCAGTAGAGCCTGGCGCGGTCATTTTCGAGCACGGCTTCCGGTAAGTACTTATAATAAGGCAGTTTCCGATCCACGAGACCGTATTTCAGAGCGAGCTCCTAGTATAGAATTCTGGCTACTAGGCTGTGTCTATGTAAGTACTTTGACATTCCTAAGTGACTCACCGGGACGGCGGCAAGCTTATTATTACTCTTACGAATGTTTGCGTGTGCAATAAAATCACTTACAATGCATTACTGCGCATTTTGAATTTAAGAGATAAAAAGGATATAAAGTTTGAGATTTTTTTTAAATTGATTTGTCTTTAACGGCCTATATTAGTTATCTTGTACCTTCTCTACAAATTTGACCGGTTATCACAAAATAACCCTGTATAATTTCCAAGGAAGCACAGATTATTGGAATAAGCCTAAACTATGGTAAGCTTTGTAAAATTTTGAGAGAAAGGTGGTACATGCTTTCATATTTCTTTCTCATATATATAATTAGTAGAACATGTGGAAAAAAAATTTCTTGTCACTTAAAACACATTATGAAGATGGCAGTGACAAACTAAATTATTTGATAAACAGTTTTCTACATTTCTTTAAGTTATGTATTTTAAGTGAATAAATAATTAGAAATTTGTATTGTATTTTATTATGTTCTTTTATATCGAGCTTTGAGACAGGTAACCTAAAAAAATACCCCAAAAAAAGGACAAAATTTTTCAGCCTCACGAGAGAATTGCAGATAATCTGATTAATTATAAAGATGGAATTTGTGGAGATATATACCACATTTAATAGTTTCACTCAATAGTGCCTCTCAATGGATAGATCATAAGATGAACACGGACAAAACAAATATCATGTTTAATGTCCGTGTCACACCTATGTCGGTAGTTGTTGGGAACACTAAGCTGGAAGTTGTTGACGAGTACGTTTACCTGGGACAAATAGTCTGACTAGGTAAGTCCAACTTCGACCGAGAGGTCAATCGACGGATTCAACTCGGCTGGGCAGCGTTCGGGAAATTACGACGCATCTTCTCGTCAGGTATACCTACCTCAAAACCTGAAAACAAAGTTGTACCACCAGTTCGTGTTGCCAGTGATGACCTACGGAACCGAGACGTGGTCCTTCACTGCTGGCCGTATGAGGACGCTCAAATTCGCTCAGCGAGCTATGGAGAGGGCTATGTTCGGAGTTTCTCTGCGTGATAGACTCAGAAATGAGGATATCCGCAGTAAAACCAGAGTGACCGACATAGCCCAACGGATTAGTAAGCTGAAGTGGCAATGGGCCGGCCATATAGCTCGAAGAACCGAAAACCGTTGGGGAAAAAAGGTTCTCGAGTGGCAGACTCGTACCGGTAGGCGAAGTGTAGGAAAACCCCTCACTAGACAGAGTCACGACCTGGTAAGACATGCACGTAGTCGATGGATGCAGGTGGCTCAGGACCGTGCTTTGTGGCATACCTTGGGGAGGCCTATGTTCGGCAGTGAACTTGTGAAGGGTTGTAATGATGATGATGATGATACCACATTTATATTTTGTATTAAGTTATCATTCGTCTCCGCTAGTGTTGATAATGTTTTGTGATGTTTACCAACTAAATTGGATAACAGAAAAACACGATTTAAAACAAATCGCCAAATATAAAAAACAACAGTGCGAACGCTAACGTTGACAAATCTATAGATAAACAAGTAAAATGTTTATGTTGTAATCAATGCGAACACAGCTAAAAACAAATCTTGATATCTGTTAAAAATTTTACACAGTTTTTGTGAGTGCGAACGCTACCATCAACAAAACATGTTGTGTGATTTATTTTATGCGATTTGTTTCAAAACATTACATGTTGGATGTTTCTCAGTGCAAACGTACTGTTACAGATGGACACTTTTTTAACTATTCTCCAATGAGAGATTGTTCTCCTTACTACTACACTCCATAAAAGGAAATCTGATTAGCCAATCAGCTGATAAAAGTTGTTTATGTCACGTTTTGTCTTTGACTAGAGACGGAAGAATCTCTAGTTTGTTTTGTTGAATCAATTTTACTTCCTAACTTCATATAAAGACTATTTAGCCTTTATTGTAATATATAGTATTCATAAAAAAATATGTTACGCAAATAAAATTAATAATTTATAAGTTAGAGCTTTGCTTTGTTTAAAAAATGATTGCAAGAAGTGTGTGATTCTGTAATATAACTTCCGTTATAAAATATTTGACCAATCATAAGACGTTATTCCAAACGTAATTTGCACGGTGTAATCTTGTATTGAAATTGAAATTCGTCAGTTATTTCAAAGTTGAGCCTTGTAGTTGCTGTCGGTGCGCGTTCTTCTGGAAATCTGAGAAGAAAATAAACAAAGCTGGAACTGCAATAATAACATAACGTAAAATCGACCAAAGTTCTTTTGGTCGTGTAGTTTTAAGAAGAAATCGGCTATTCAAATATGGAGATCCAAAATAGGCGACCACGAACGGTAATGCATCGTGTAGATTTTTATTATAAAAATATGAATATTTAATAGTTGTTTTGTAAATATAAAATGATTTTTAAGGTTCAGATTCATGATCAAGAAAATATATATGCTAAAGGTAAAATAAATTTGGCACTTCCAACAAAACGCCAAGGTTTGAGTGTTCGGAGTGCTCTTGATGAACTCAATACTAATGTGCAATCACAACGCGATGTAAATGTTGGAAAAACAGCCGCTGCCGCTGCAGAAAATGAGAAAAAGTCTAATGGAAATCGTAATACTGTTCGAAGGTAAAGTAACTACCCACTTTTTAAAATAATTACGCCGCTTACATAAATCTGTATGGGTGGGTGGTTCTTTTGTTCTTAAAATATGCTATGCCAAAATATAATATGCCAATATTTGTTTTATTTTTGTTTTTTCCGAATTTAATAAAAGGAGGAGGTTCTAAAGTCAATGAGTGACTATGTTTTCTCAATGGTTGTTCACAGATTTATCTGAAACTGCTGAAGCAATTTGCAAGATTTTTTTTAACAATGTTACATTATAGTTATAGTTGTTGTTGCTTGAGTTTGTGATATTCCTTAGTCCTCTCAAGAAGGTTAAAAAAACTCAGTGAAATGTAAACACTGACTTCATAAACTAAAAGCGGTAAAATAATTTCCACTTAATATCTTCAGTTGTGGCATCAATTCTTATATACACTGTCTTAGTACCAACTTCAGAACCAAAGTTAGAATTTGGGTATTTTAATCTTTAGTTTTGAAGTCTGTTTCTACATTTTAGTAAGTTTTATGTTTTATACTATTATGACATTGATCTTTGCTTGAGGCATAACTAGTTAATAAATGTTTTCCATTATTGTAAATATCACACACAAAATTGTGTCACATAGTTTGTCTGTATGAACTATAATACTGAGTCAATATAATTTTGCACCCATGTATGCAGGTTGGTCCAACTTGAGAGACAAGATAGTTTTTGCCTTATAAGTAACTCTCAATATTTTTTTATTAAGAATTTAAGGATTTTTTATAGGACAACGGGTCATCAGAGAGGGCAGAACAACATATGCCACCTGGCCATTTAGTATTATATGAATATTTATAACTTAGTATGAAGTAAAAGCAAAAAAATTTGTCATGGATATACCATAACTAATTATTTCGCTTTTACTTATTGTTATGATTTTTTTAAAGTGTGTTGATATTTTTCAGTAATTACAACCATGTACAATCAAAAATAGATACAGGACTAGCAAGTAAGCCTGTTGTGCAGCCATGTTCTAGACCACCTCTGAGACGAGAGGAGAGCACTGCTGCGCATGCTGCAAAGGCTGCTGCTCGGACAAGGGTATGTAATATTTAAAGATATTTATTTAAATCACATCTGTATGAAAAATAAAACTATAATTGTTAAAACACAGTTGTTTAAAGATCCCAATATGATCATCTCATATCAGCAAAATATTGTGTTTAACCTATTGAGATGCTAACAAGTTTTTAATTCATGACTGGTGATAAGAGGCCCTAAATCTTTTTCACTCCAAAGGTTATATTCATGCTATAGCCATTTAGTCTGCAAACTCATTCAGTGGTTAAAGCACTATATTGTGAGGGTAGCTGTGTCTTAAGGCTATTCTATATTGAAACCATGTTATGTCAATGAAGATAACCCAAATCTTAAATCAAGTTACTTATAAGATATTCAGGATTATGATGAGAAGATACTCTATGGTTCTTATTTATATCGAGTATATTTGTATGTGAATGGTGCTTTAAGATAAATTTGTGAGAACCTCAAAATTTTTGAATTTACCAGCTGTTTCAATTTTCAATTCTAAGGTTTTTTGAAGTATGAAAAGTATATATTTATTTATTGTAGTATATATAATATGCATATGAAACTCACAGAATAAAATTTTATTTTTCATTTTAGGCTATCTTAAAAGACACGCACAATAAGCCAAATGAGATCAAAGAGTCACTCAATATTTATGTGCAGACCAAGAAAAAACAAGATGTTAAAAAGGTTAATAAACTACATGTAGTTAGGGAGATATCTAAAGAATCTAAAAGTATATTAAAACCTATCCTCAAAGATCCATCAGAGTCATTAGGAAAACTTAAATTGTCTGAACCTTCAAGCAAGAAAAAAGAAGAGACTTTAAATAAAGAAAAACCAACAAAGCAAATAGTACCATCAACACCTACACTACCTGATGACATAGAAGATATTGATGCTAGGGATAATAATAGCCCACTTCTCATGTCAATGTACATTAAAGATATTTATGAATATTTAACAGAATTGGAAGAAAAATACCCTATTGAATTTGATTTCCTAAGTAACCAGGTCTGTATCATTAATTATAAGTCATCTTCTTTTTTGTTCTTATATATATCAATCTCATATAAAATATAAATCTATTAAAATCAATTGCCGTCCATTAGTCTTGCTAAAACTCTGAAATGGCTCAAATGATTTCGATGTTAATTCATCAAAAACTCAATTGGACCCGATAGGTGGCACTGTTGAGGTCTAGAATCAGCTGTGCAAAGCCGGGGCGGATCGCTAGTTCATAGTAAAAATACATAGAATGATAGCTGCAATAAAAATATGTATTGAGAGTTCAGTTCAGTCACAAGCAATTGTTATTACTATGAGTGTTATAAGGTTGTTAAGTGTACTTTAATATTAAGCATTAACAGACTTCTGTTTGCCTTTTGGTGATGGAATAATAAAATCTTAAAGAGGTCGCTTATGAAAGTGCTTGGCAGATCTTGTGACCTTAGATGGTTGCATAGGCTAACATAAAAAAACAATGTGAAATACTCCAAGTAGCTAGAGAAAGCAGCTGTAAACAAGCATTGCTCCAAAAAGAGACACCCATGTTATTAATTTGAATATTTATTTTGTATAGAACAAATGTAACTCATTTTTGGAACATGAAGCTTATATGCTCAGATAAATAATATAGTTTTGAGATTTATGTTCTTTTGCTAAGAAACACTTTGTAGTTATCAAAAATATTGTAGTAGTTTTTCTTTGTTTTAGTTTAATATATTATTCTGTGTATTCCAGACTGTGATCACTGGAAAAATGAGGGCAACTCTTATCGATTGGTTGGTAGAAGTCCAACGTCAATTCTCCTTAGTTTTAGAAACATTCCATCTCACAGTTGGAATCATTGATAGATATTTACAGGTATGTAAAATTATTCTTAAAGAAAAACACAATTATGTGGGTGACCAGTGTTGAAACAAATTCTTTGGTGGCATGGATACATAGAAAGAATTAATGTAAAAAGATGGATCTATGTTGCAGGAGTGACTGGTATCTAGGCTCTAGAAGGAGAGTTGTGTTAGAATTGTGCCAAATAGTATTCCTCAGTGTGACATAAATGATATGTTATGGACTGTTGTAATAATTGATAGTTTAGTTTATGACGAGCTGTTTTCCGCAGCTTTACGTCTAAGCGCGTATTTTGCATGTGGGCAGGAAAAATGTGGTTATTCGAGCCATGATATTTCCCCGAAGAAGTTCAACAGTACTTTGATGTTGCAAGCAACTTCGGGGAGTGATCCTGGCGTGCCGAGATGTTTAGCCCTGAATAAAGCGACTTCTGGACATGACAGCAATACGTGAGCCGCCGTATCTTCCTCTCCCATGTATGCCTTGCACAGGGGGCTATCAGTAACACCTATGGTAAACAAATGTTTGTTAAAAGAGCCGTGTCCGGTGACAGCACTTGTCACAATCCTGATCTGTGGCTTGTTCAGTCTCATTAGAACCTTGGTTAGATGACTGTTTATTTCATGCAGGGCCTCCCTAGCTTGTCTGCAGTCTACTAAATTTTTCCAAAGCTGAGTGTGTAAATTATTGAAGTATCTACATACCAGTGAATGAACGTAGCTAAAGGGGATTGGTATAATTAATATTATAAACTTGTATGGATATGGAGGCTTTCCGAAAATAGTTACAAAATGAAAAACGGCAGTTGCCAACCCTCATGCCAATTATTTCGACTATATGTGACAACCAGCAGTGGACTTTAAAAGGCTGTGTAACACAATTTATGATAATAAAAAAATGCAAGTTAAAAAATAATATTTGAGTAGAGTTTACTTTGGTTATAGTTTATTTTAATTTTGTTTTGTATTCTCAATCTTGTTTCGATCTTTTTAGTGCATTACTTTTAAATTTTCTTTTTTATAGTCGGGTTTTAGATTTTTTTCAATTATTTATTTTATTTAAGACTTTAGTGTGCCGCCTGTATTTTGTGTAAAAATTTTAGATGATTTTTCAATAACTATGCGACTTAGAAAGATCGATGTATATTTCCTGAAATAAATGGTGTTCAAAATTTATTGAAAACAATTTAAGTATTTGTTTAGTTTTAAATGGTTTTATTATAGTATTAATAACTATTCTTTTTTTCATATAATAGCACGAGGTCCAACACAAAAATTGCACATTTTATAAACCAGATATTTGAAAAATTTATAAACCAGTTATTTGAAAAATATATAAACCAATTTATAATTCCTAATTAAATTTAACCATACAACTATATGCGATAATCGATAGGTTTGGTAATTTTTTTATTAAAAAAATTAGCGCCAAAAATCAGCCATTTTGTTTTTTAAAAAAAAAGCTATCTAAGAACACTTGGGTTATTAAGACGAATAAAATGACACCTTAATTGTCGAAATCCATCAAGCCGTTTGGAAGTTATGAGGTAATAAAGAAATTTACAAACATACAAGATCGCGCGAAAAACATAACCCTTCCCTGACAGTCGGGTAAAAATATTATTACATTTATAAACAGTGGTGGCCCTAGCAAAATTTTAAGGTGGTGCGAGATCTCATAGTGGTGTCCCTCTAAATACAAAATCGGCCTAACCAAGAAAATAAACACATACTAAATCAGTTATATTTTTATTTTTCTACATAATCACCATCAAGTTCAATACACTTTTGCCACCTCCCCTTCCAAGCATTTAGACCGTTGAAAAAAAAAATGATTCTTCCTTAGAGTCAAAATATGCGTCTACAGCTGCTTTGACCTCGTCGTTTGTCGAAAATCTTTGACCTCCCAAGTGCTTTTTTAGGTTAGGGAACAGAAAGAAGTCTGATGGTGCCAGATCAGGTGAATACGGCGGATGCGGTAACAGTTCAAAGCCACAGTTTGATTGACTGTACTGACGTGTGAACACGGGCGTTATCTTGATGAAACAGGACTTTTCTTCTGAGCATTCCTCGACGTTTTTCTTTTATTTCCTCTCGTAAACGACGTAGTAAGGTGCAGTAGTAATCAGAGTTTATAGTCTGACCCCTTTCAAGATAATCAATCATAATCACACCTTTCGAGTCCCAGAATACTGAAGCCATCACCTTATTTGCCGACAAAATCGACTTAGCCTTTTTTAGGGGGTGGTGAACCAGGTCTTCTCCACTGTTTTGATTGTTGTTTTGTTTCCGGTGTACAGTAATGAACCCATGTTTCGTCCATAGTAACAAAACGATTCAAAAAATCATCTGCATCGGCTTCAAATAACTCCAAACAGTCGCGTGAAATAGTCAATCGCGTCCTTTTTTGTTCAACTGAAAGCAGTCGCGGAACCCACCTCGCAGACACCTTGTGGAAACCCAACTCGTTGACAATGATGTTTTGAGTTCGTTCATAAGAGATGCCTATAATCTCGGCTATCTCTCTAATTTTTAATCTGCGGTCTGCCATTATTAAATCAAGTACTTTTTTAATATTTTCGTCAGTAGTTGACGTCGAAGGCCTTCCAGAGCGGGGTTCATCTTTCACACTCTCTACCACGCTTAAATTCTGCTACCCATTTTTTGACAGATGAATATGACAGAGCACAATCGCCTAATGTACTGACCATGTCATCATGGATGGCTTTTGATGATAGCCCCTTCATATGGAGGTACTTAATGACGGCACGCTGCTCGATTTGCTCCATTCGCGGAAATTATGTCCGATTACTTTGTTAATAAATTTATAAAATCACAACTAATTATCGCACACGTTTCGAACTTCACACAATGAGCTAGTCTGAACTGAACTAAATAATGTGGGTAGATTTGATTTTTAGAATTGAATGGATCTGTGTTAGGCCGAGTACTTTTCAATCCACCCTCGTATTAGACCTATCAAATATCTTCAGGTGTATATGCAGGGCAAGCACAGTTGTGTCTATAGATCTTGACATAATAGTAGTTGTTCTGCTTATTTGAGTTAAAGAAATGTTGTCCATTCTGCTCACACTACTCTGTTGCGTTCGACAATGCCACTGTGCTTGCCTTGCTGCGGTGACTAGTTGTACAGATTATTCATTTCTCTTCGTATGCAAATAATATTTTCCTCCTTCAGGATCAGGCTGACTTAAAAATTGGATCTTTCTGTTATTAGAGCAGATGAAAAAGCTCTGTACTGTTTCAAAATTCTGACAAAATTTTTTCAAAAAATACGACATTGGTAAATCCATAGATTCAGACTGCATAGCATTTTTTTGTGCGAGCAGCTATGCAGGTCTAAAAAGACCAGTATCACTCCAATCTAAAAGATCTATTGTTATCACTGCTATGGATATAGTTCATTGCTAAGTAAAGTTGTTCAAAACGACCATAAATCAATAGCGCACTACAGACTATAAACTATAAATTTCTAGCGCGCTATTACTTACTTACTTATCTTCACGCACAATCCCTAACGGGGTAGCCAGAGAGAACAGATCGCCAAGTTTCACGATCCTTCACACCACCTCCACCACCTCTTTCGCTTCTTTCAGGTTCATTATCTTCTTCATACATGTACGTCTAGGTATCCGAGTACTCTTGACCTTCCCCTCTTCAAGTAATTAGCTCACATGGTCTTCGAAAGTTAGTCTCTGTCTGCCTCGACACTTTTTAATATTTACTTTCGCGCTATATATTTTCTTCACTATTCGGTCTTAACTCATTCGCTCAACGTGCCCAAACCATCGGAGTACACCCCTATCAATTTTTGTGATAAGGTCATCTTTCAATCCTGCCATATTGCTAATCTCTTTGTTTCGCTTTCGGTCGGCTATGGTAACGCCGCACATTTTACGAAGAGATCGCATCTCCACTGCATTCAACTTGCTTTTATGCTTCTTCTGGCATACCCAGGTTTCGCTGCCATATAACAAAGTCGGTACCAACACTGCGTTATATGCAAGGCGTGCACTCTTCACTACGCCTTGCCTTTTGACTAACGCATTCAGGGCACCATTGACTTTGTTCCCGGCAGCGACACTCCTGTCCACATCTAAATCACATCTTCCATCCCGGCTGAAAGCACTCCCCAACTATACAATTTCATTTACCTGTTCTAGACATTCCTGATTTACCCATATTTCACATTTCGTTCTCTCTTCGTCCTTTTCAAATACCAGAACCTTAGTTTTATTAGCATTCAAACGGAGACCTTTAATTTCACATTCCTCTTTCATACACATGACTAATGCCTGCAGTTCCGCTTCTGATGGTGTATTAAGCACTGCATCATCAGCATACAGCAGACAATTTACTTTAATGTCACCCAATTTCACACCCAAACAGCTATTTTTCAGCTTCTGTCAACAGCTGTCGAGATACAGCATGAACAGCCAGGCAGACATGACACAACCCTGTTTTACGCCTGCTTGGATGCTAAACATGGGTGACAGACAGGTCATGCCCTATCCGCACACAGGCTTTACAGTCATAGTAAAGTGACTGCACAGCCCTTAACAATCTACCATCCACACCATATTCCAGCAACAGTTCCCACATTTTCTTCCTTATAACCTTATCAAATGCTTTCTCCAGATCCACAAAAGCACAAAATCCTCTGGTTAACAGCCAGAAGCTTTTCTGTGATCATGCGGAGAGAAAACATTTGATCCGTGCATCCTCTTCCAGGTCTAAATCCGCATTGTGCCTCCCATAATAATCTTTCCGATTTCTCTTGCATCCTATGTGTCAAAACCTTCGAGTAAACCTTACTTGCTAAGATGGTCAAGCTGATCGCCCGATAGCACCCGCAGTCAAAATGTGATCATTTACCTTTATATAATGGCACAATGACCGCGGATCGCCAGTCATTCGGGACACCTCCCGTCCGCCAGCACAAATTGCACAGCAGATGAAAGCTGTCCCAGACGCGAGTCCCACCGTACTTGA